GGCTTATAATCTCCGTTCCCTTCCCCTCCCCACAGCAGACACCCTGTCAGGGAAGTGGGGCTGAGAGAGCTCTTTCGAGGACTGCCCTCGAGAGAACAGCTCTGAGAGAACTTGTGACTAACCCACGGTCTCACCAGCAGCTGCATGTGGAGGAGTGGGGAATCAGACCCGGTTCTCGCAGATTAGACTCCGCGCTCATAACCACTACGCCAAAGCTAGCACTCTTAATCACTACACCAAAAGTAGCATCTGTAGTGAGATTAGAAGAGATTGAAGAAGAAGAGATTGGATTTATACCCCACCCTTCACTTGAGCTGTGGTTGCTCAAGTGGTTAAGACGCTGAACTGCAGGCTGTGGAAGGTCAGTAGTTCAGCAGTTCGAGACCCAGGTGCTGCAAGACAGAGTGAGCTCCCGTCTCTAGTTCCAGCTCCTGCCAGCCTAGCAGTTCGAAAGCAAGAAATTGCAAGTAGATAAATAGGTACCACTTCGGTGGGAAGGTAACAGCGTTCCGTGCGCCTTGGTGTTTAGTCATTCCGGCCACACGACCACGGAAAACGTCTTCGGACAGCGCTGGCTCTTCGGCTTTGAAGCAAGGGAACCTTTACCTTTACTTCGCTAACCAAAGGTGTCTCAGAGTGGCTTACAAACTCCTTTCCCTTCCCCTCCCCACAACAGACACGCTGCGAGGTAGGTGGGGCAGAGAGAGCTCTTGACAGAAACTGCTCTTTTTCAAGGACAGCTCTTATCAGAACTACGGCTTGCCCAAGGTCTCTTTTCCAAGAACAGCTCTTATCAGAACTATGGCTTGCCCAAGGTCAGCCAGCAGCTGCGAGTGGAGGAGTGGGGAATCAAACCCGGTTCTCCCAGTTTAGAGTTCGTGCACTTCACCACGACACCAAATCCCGCGTACACTTAACCACTACACCAAATCCCACGTCAGGCAGTTTGATAGCTCACAGAACTAAAGCCACACAGTCAAGGTTCAGCATGACCACTCCATCGGGTGGCCCCCAGTATTTCCGAGCTTTGCTTTTGGTCAGCCTGGGATCTGACTGTCGCTTTTCAACCGAGGTGCTCCCCTAATGCACAGAACGAGTCGAGCGGTGAAACGGTTTGCCCAGCAATCTTTGTGCTTCCCCCACGATATGAGCAATGTTCTCCTCCATTGGCTTCCCCTCGTGGAAACTCATAATGGAAACTCCTGGGGGGAGATGGTATTACTGTATCCACAGGTTGCTGGGGAAGAGAGCGTGAGAGGAGGGGGTCATGACTAGACGCCGAGGCTCACGGAACGCTGTTACCTTCCCACTGAAAGGGTACCTACTTGCAGTTTCTTGCTTTCGAACTGCTAGGTTGGCAGGAGCTGGGGCCAGAGACGGGAGCTCACTCCGTCACGTGGTACTCAGGTCTCGAACTGCCAAACTATCGACCTTCCGTTTGGCAGTTCAGCGTCTTAACCACTTGAGCCACCGCAGCCTCTCGGAGGCCAAATAAGGGCCTGTCAAATAAAATTGGTGCTCTGTTGGGGGGGGGGGGAGCTATTTGTTGTGCTATCTTGCTGCACAGTTCTGATTTGTAAAAATGAGACCTAATAAAAAGGCGCTTTCAAGGGAGTAGGTGCTTATACCCACTTTTATCTGCCTTAAGGCGTCTCAGAGCGGCTAGCTTACAATCTCCTTTCCCCTCCTCTCTCCCCACAACAGACACCGTGTGAGGTGGGTGGGGCTGAGAGAGCTCTGACAGAAACTGCTCTTTTTCAAGAACAGCTCTTATCAGAACTATGGCTTGCCCAAGGTCATCCAGCAGCTGCAAGTGGAGGAGTGGGGAATCAAACCCGGTTCTCCCAGATTAGAGTCCACACACTTAACCACTACACCAAATTAGTTGTCTGTTTCATAAAGTAGCCCTAGGGGCAGATCTCTGGGAAAGAGATTACTGTCTAGATCTTGTTGTTGTTTAATTCATTCGTATCCTGCCTTTCTCCCAAACGGGGGACCCAAACGGGCTTACATCATTCTCCTCTCCTGCATGTTATCCTCACAACTCTATGAGGTAAGTTAGGCCAGGAGTCCCCAACTTTTTTTGAGCCTGCTTGTGCTTTCGGAGTTCAGAAAGCGGATGGTGGGCACAGCTACATAATGGCTGCCACAAAATGGCGGCCACAGGAGGCGGAGTCAGCCACAAAGTGGCTGCCACTGCTTACCTTCAGTCGTTCCTTGTGCTGTGGCGGCAGCTGCTGCCGAATCAACGTTTTAAAAAATCTGCACAGCTTGTTTTTTAAACACAAGCAATCATACAAAGATTGAAAAAACCCATACAGGTTGGGGGGTTTCATATACCTTCTAATTATATCTGTTAAGATACCTCCTACATTGTATGAATGTATGTTAATCATTATTATTTATTAAGTACAGTCATAAGACCAGCACAATAAACCGAAATAGTACAACACAGAGTCTACAACATAGGATCCTTACAACCATAATTTCTAAAATGTCAAACCAGTCAATTCCATCATTAATGGCTCAAGTTACAGTACATTCTGCGTTTTTTAATTACCAAGTAACAATATTTAGCAACATTGCGTGAGACAGAATCATAATTATCAACCAGTAAGAACTTCATCAAGCATTCATCGGCATATGTAAGGTAGTTAGCCAAGGGTTTAAACCGTGAGAGAAGGGGTATCAACAGCTGCTGTCTCTCTACGTCATACATAGGAGGGGTCATTTCGTAGAAAAAGAGCTAGGGGAACTCATTAGCATAACTCATTAGCATATGCCACACCCCCTGACATCAGGGGCTCGGCGGTGGACCTGCAAGGCCAGCGGGAGTGCAAGGAAGCCCCGCCAAGGCCCTCCCTGGCCCCAGGCAGGCAGAGGTGGGGAGAGGCGGGGAGGAAGCAACTTACCCTTCCTCTTCTCCTGCCTCCTCCTGGCTGAATAAGGGTCGGAAGCGGGGCGGCCAGAAGCAGGGGGTGGAGCTTTGTCATGTGCCCCGCCCCCTGTACCTCACCCGGGGGAACTGCGATCCCCCACGATCCCCCCCCGAAATGACCTCTGCCATGGACACT